TTCTTTGTTAGAACATAGTTTTTTTTTGTCGAGCATTGCTTCGATTTACGGTCGTTTTTTATTTTTATTTTATGTTACACCTGATTTTAATTAGCGATGCATCACATCATTAGATCACAGTCCTAAGCAAAATAAATTAAAATGGTTTACTTTTACTTGATAATTTTTTAAATTGTATCGAATGTTTATTTTTATTTTTTTTTAGTTCTTTATTTACTTAGACTATAACTGAATTCCAATCATAATTGAAATTTAGCTAGAGCTATTGGAGTTATTTGAAATAATTTAAACCCTCATGTCCGAAGAGCGCACTCTCCTCAAAATATAGACATAAGCGTCTCCAAGAGGAGGTTGAGGATCTTCTGCAACTTTGTTGTCATTGAATAAAACCCACTTTTGATCCTTATGTATGTGAACAACATAGTGACCGCAGTGTACAGATGTACCTTTGTGAGAAATGACACTCTGAAGTTGATAGTCAGCAGGTAAAGTAGAATCTAAAGTGAGAAATTTTATTCAGATTATGAAAACAGTCAATTACACAAAGCCGAATTGGATGAATTAGAAATATTAATGACCTCCAAAAGTGTTAATGACGTTATTGTCATCAACTTGCGAACTCTCAGACACATCCTCAGGATGGCTGAAGAGCCAGTCAGCAGCACGATTCACGTCATTATTCTGAAAAAAAAAAGTTTCCAGTTAATATATGGATTAGAACATGATTTCAATAAAAAATGTGAATAAACATGACTAACTGTCTCCGATAAAGCTTTCCTAACTCGTGCTTCTGAGAATCCCATAGTCATTAATATGGTGACATCGTCTTTTGAAGGTTCCTGTGCATTAGATACGGATGTAGAACCTGAAATTGGCGCATCAATATCTTGATACGATTTGCATGAAATTAGTATGCTTCGTATAAAGATTACTAGCATTACAAGAGTAATATATAAAATAAAAAATCAACCTGCATCATCCATATGTTCAAACAACCAATTCATTGCTATATCAGCTCCATTATTTCCAGTAGCAATCAATGCTTTTCTGCATCGGTTCTCAGGAAAACCCATTTCAAGTAGCTTATTAAGGTCCGATTCATTAATTGAAGGCGCTGATAAAGTAGTTTCGAGTGTATCAATTTTAATGGCCACAATTATATATATTTATATATAAGGTATACCAACCTGCAGGTGACTCTTCTGGAAGCAGTTCTTCATGATCCTGTCGCCCATGAGCAATGTATTTGTCAAAGTTATAGCAATCTTGCTCAAAAAGAATGGGAACAGCTAAAAATTGAAATTAATTTAGATAAAACAAATAGTGA